GGATATTTTTGATCTTCTCGCTGGTACTCGATATGTTATGTGTATCGGTGTTGCAGCTTTGGGAATTGTAAGTATATTTACATATATTTTTATATTCTCACTGGTACATTATTTTATAACTTTATTTATTTTCAATGTTGAAGGTATTTACATCGTTTGTGTGTTGAGAGGAAGATCCGCTTTCTCTATGGATTTGTTGACCCTGTTGCCATTCGAGTCCATTGGGAATAAAGTCGAAGAGGTGCAAACGTACTTAATAGAGACATTTCAAACTGGGGCAAAGAAGTGTACTTAGCACCTTACTTGCATCAGTAAGTATACATCTTATAAATTAATGCACATTTATGTAAAACTGAAATTTTACTAATATTATTTCAACGTGCAGGGGTCATTGGCGGCTCATAATCATTGTTCCTCGGCAATTTCTTGTGATTCTCTTGTGTTCATTACACAAGAAAGCAAATGATTTGGATATTAGAAAGCACATAGACGCGTAAGTTTGGTTTTTTTAATTGTTGTATCATATGTGCACTACTTACACCAAAATTATTTGTCCTTTTGTAGAGCTTTGGAAGCTCATCTAAGGTTGCAAGGTCTTCCATCTCATGCTAGAAAGAAGTTGACGTATATTGCACCAAAGGTGACCAAACACCTCTTACTATTGTTCAATTTGTCATTTAAAGTTAAACTGACATGTATTTAACTTGTAGTGTCCACGGCAACCGGAAGCCATGAGTGCGGGTATTATGTGATGAAGCACATGCACACCATCGTAGACAAAAATATTATGGGCTCATGGAGGGAGGTAAATATACTATAATTAAGTCAAATATGCCAATTATGTAAATGGTTTCTAAATCTGAAATGTTTCAATATGTAGGAATTTACAGACTCATCTCCAATGAAGATTGAAGTCTTAGACGATATCAGAGAGCAGTGGGCTTCTTTCCTTTTAAGCATTCAATCTTCATAGGAAATTTAACTTGTAACAATTTAGATAGAATTGATTTAAGTTAGGAAATTTACATATATTCATAGGAAATTTATTCAACTGGGTAGAACTGGATTTGTCTGTACATATATTCATTTCAATGTGTTTCATATGTACATATCTCGTCTGCAATCGAACTCTGTCTGTATCGGATATATATCCGTAGCAAATTTATATATGAACTGTGCATATCCGTCTGCATCTGGATCTGTGGTTATTTGTCTGGAACCGTGATGAATAGACAGTGTCTACTCGAAGAAAGGTAGCATCTCGTAAATAAAATGCAGGTATTTTAAAAAAATAACACTTTCTACGTCGGTTATGTCATTACCCGACGTAGAAAGTACTTTCACGTCGGTTAATGGCATAACCGACGTAGAAAGTGTAACATTTTATGTCTGTTATAGGCATAACCGACATTGATAACACATACAATAACGGATTCGTTATACCGATATAGATACTTGGGTTATAGAAAGTTAGAAAGTAAGACTTTCTATGTCGGTTATAATTGTTAACCGACATAGAAAGTATTATGACAGTCGAAACCGATTATGATCGATTAGAATAGCTCATACAAAATAAGACTTTCTACGTCGGTTCCTGACTAACAGACGTAGAAAGTCCTTCTATGACCGATCGTAGACCGGTTATGATCGATCGGAATAGCTCTATGACCGATCATAACTATTTTGACCGATCATAATAGCTCAAAGAAAGTAGGTCTTTCTACGTCGGTTCCTATTAACCGACGTAGAAAGTCTTACTTTCTATGACCCCCGTATCTATGTCGCCGCTTTAACCGACGTCGAAAGCCCATTTTAACCGATGTAAAAAGCCTTTTTTGCAGTAGTGAGTATTACTGGTTAAAGTAATAATAATAAGAATAACAATTAATGGACATAAGTGCAGCAATGGGTCACAAGTAAACACATTAAAAAACATGATAGAATGAGTTTGTGGATTCTTTTACTTCTTTATTATTCAACTTTCATATTTTTTATACGATGTTATATTTCTAGTTTCTAAAATATATATGGAGGTTATGATTTTAGTGTTTAAAATTAAAAAAAATATTAAATTAAAAAATTATAATTTTAGTTCTTAAATGAAATTGAAAGACTAAAATAAGAATTTTAAAATAAAATTTAATCTTTTAAATTAGTTATTCAATATTCCAGAGACTGAAAATATCTTTTAAAAAGCACACTTAAATATATATATCTATATATATATAACTGGTAAGATTTAACTAGGAAAATTGGATGAATAGAAGATATTTTCTCATGTTCTGTGGAACATAATGATAATGGTATTTTTATTTGAGGTTTTGTTACAACTTAGCAAAAATATGGATAAAATATTCAAGAATCATATTTAATAGTTTTCCACACAAATTTTTAAAAGGGTATAAACTAATTAACGAATTCTTAATATGTAGTTCATCAAACAAATAATGTACCTTGACATCACGTATATGTAGTAATGTTATGGTGTTAGTAAGACTTTTACGGTTTTAGATTCAATCATATAATCATCGTTCTTCAATCAATACGCGAGCATAAATGAATTGATTGAGGGTTTATTCTATTCTTAATAGGAATTTCATGGTTTATGGTCGACAAATATAACAAGTTAAAAATTAAAACAAAAGCCTCACCGACCATAATAATTACATTTCATTCAATCTTAATTAATCATTACTCTTCTTAATTAAGACTTAATTAATCACTTGTCATTATAATCTTTGAGGCGTGTGTATTGCATTCACTCACAAGCAATAAGGTTCAAGTCAATCATGCGTAGTTGACTTTTACAAAAAAAAAATATATAGTCGTCATAGAAAAAAGATTAATAGAATGGGTCAAATTCATTTTAATCCTTTAAAACAATTTTGACCTATTTCTTTACTTTCAAAATATTCCATTTTTATTCTCAAATTAATTACAATTAATATTAATGATTTATAATTTTAAAAAGAATACTTTAAAAAATTAGAGTATTTTTAAAATTTGATAAACAGTATATGCAAATGTTTTAAAAATCTAAAATAAAACATGAAAAATTGTAAAGAAATAAAAAATATATTTCACCATTAGTTATATAAGTTATATATAATAATAAAATTACAATTGTAAACTTTATCATTATATAACTTATCTAAGGGATACAATGAAATCTTACATACGAGAGATATAAATAATTTTTTTTATTGTGTCAATTTTATAATATTAAATTAAATATATCTTCATTTCTAATAAATATCTATTAAATATTAAATAACTCCTAACCCAGAAAATAAAATAGAATACTTAATGACAAATGAAATAAGAAAACCTATAAAGTTGGCTTTAAATTTTTTGACATTATATGCCATTTTATCTCTCTAAATCAATATATTCTCAAAATATTATTGTTGTCAAGAACACAAGAGTGATTCGAACTACATGTCCAAATTCATCCATACTTTGAGTTAAATCTTATCACAATCTCTTCCTGAAATATATATATATATATATATATATATATATATATATATATAAATATTAAAGTTTAGATGACAAAAATGATATATTAAAGAGACAATTTATAAATTCGTCTCAAAATTATTTGTAAGAAAATACCCTATTAATCATAGAAAAAAAATACAATTTACCTTGGAAATTTCTTAAAAGTTTTAAAGCTCTTACTGCAAAAATTTATAAATTTGCATGGATACAATCTCTGGTAGCAAAACTGTAAGGTTTTTCGCAAAAGTGGTAGGAAACAAACATAATAATTTCGCCAATTAATATGCAGGGACTGAGTAGAAAATCAAGTCAATTCATAAATATCATCTAATAATTCATGAGAAAATGAAAAAAGATTGAGTGATAGCATACCAAGCTCAAATCAGGCCATTAACTTTCCCATTCAAATCATGTTGGCTTTCTATCTGGTTACACCACTCATCATGTCATTCAACTTTTAGGGAAAATCAATCTCTAGTATTCTTAGTTAACTCACCCAAACCAATTAATGGTGTCCCAATTAGTAGTAAACTACAAATGAAGTTACTATCATAGAGTCTCTTTCATCACATACATCTTTCTAATAAATGTTTTATGAAAAACAAGTTTTCTTTCTAATTATTTCAGACATCTATAAAACTATTAGTTGATGTAATCCTGGTATCAATCATTTTATTTGTTTCTTGGTCAACCTTTCTTAATTTGTTACCTGCAAGTATTAAATCGCTTTCAATCCGTCAACTCCCATTTTATATCATGCTTCCACTAGCATTTGTTCATGGATTTGTCCTTTTGTTTTGATCTCCAAGTTATCTTTACGAAATTCGTATCCCAAAGAATGTGGGTGGGTGTTTGTGATTGTTCAAAAAATGCAACAACTCAGTTGCAGTTGCGTTTCAGAGTCTCAATCTAGTGGTCACGTGTGATGAAGACCTAAAATGTTTTTTTTTTTCTTTTTTTTTTCGTTGAAACTGATAATTAGATTCTCTCACTGTCTTTCCAAGTTCCTAGTAGCCAACATTGGTCCCGAAAAATTCTCAAACTTATCTTGAATTCCAAAATCTCACATTCCTCACAAGAAGACAAGGGATATTGGGTGGAGAAGAGGGACAGAAGAAGCACAACATTCGTGTCCATTTGTAGAGGCAACTAACATGATGGTGTAGTTGTCATAGTATCATGCAGATTAGCAACATTGACATGCTCTTCAGTTTTGGATCTTAGCAATTAAGAAACATCTATAATTAGGTATGATATGATTGACAGATAAGCATATTTCTTAAATATGATGACATATATACTTTTGATCGTTAGATTTGTAAGAGTTATCAGTAATTTTAGTATTTTAAAGAGTTAAAGTTTATATTGGATTCATCCATAAACAGTGTAGTTCATTGAGGGAGGATTTGTCACAATCACATTCTATCCAATTGTTATCAGCACTAAGATTACCAAGTTTTGCTCCTTGCATGTCTGCATCAGTTTTTGTTGGTGGGAGAATGGAATTGTGGGGCATAGACAATCCCCATTGTGATTTTGGTTTACAGTTTGAAGAAAAAGGTCAACTTGATTGCAATGATACTACAAGTATTTGTCGTGTTATTAAGGGGAAAGGACATGACCAAGTTGCTTTCAAGCTTGATGATGTTCGTTCCTTTCCATTAACAAAGGAAAACCTTGACAAATTACACTAATGCATGTAAGCATTAGGAACTAACAAGGTGCACCCATATTCTAATGGAAGCCAATCATAGCCTATGACTTTACCCTAAGCCACATGCCCATCATTTTTGTGTCGTTTTCTTTAACTTCTGTGTCTACTTTCTTCCCTTTTTCTCTTTTGTTTTTTTCAGACTCTGGCATCCAAGTGTGCCTGGTTAGAGTGCTGCAACATTAGTGCCTTTGCACTACCTCCATCACCATGAAGGTACAAATCACCCTCATGAATCTACAATCACACCGATCTACAACTTGTTTTAGCAGATAGTGACTCTCACTTTTCCCACTTCAATTAACATTTTGAAAAAAACAAAAAAAATAGTACCAAAGTCAAGTCCATATACAGTGATTTCGGTCATGAGTGGAATTCAATTCCATGCACATATTATCTGACACACAGTAAACCACAAAACTTTGATACATCCATACAACACTTAATACTGTGTTGGTTCTTCAAATTTAATATCTTATCTCACTTATTCTGTAGATTTTAGTTTCTGAGATAAAAATTTGAAAATGAAATGCCATTATAGTTTAATATAACACTAATATTATCTCAAGTTATCTTATATTAAAATGAAATTTTCTATTGATAAAATGTCACGTGCACAATAACTGGTTTATTATCTTGATGCAAAACATTTACTGCATTATAAAATTATCGAATCATACATTAACTAATAAAATATTAAGGAGAAAATGGTTAGAGCAAAGGAAACTAGCTAATTATTATCGCCACATTTTTTGGGTGAACCTAAAAACATAAACATTTTTACGCATCTATGTAATTTGAATTGTTTTGATGTTTAAATCACGAAAAAGAAAACATGATTGAACATAAGAGCATGATCCTGTCCTGTCTAATATTAAAAAAATGGAGAGAAAAACTGTTTGTTCTTATCCTTATTCCAGACAATAGTCCCCATGCCACATGCCTAATCAAGCTGGACAATCACAAACTCATTCATATCAGTTTGATCATAAATTTGTATCATCCCAAAAAATGAATTGATGGTTTTAAAGGAAGAAAGCTAAAGAAAAGAAATGAAATGGAAAGAGAAAAAAGTTAAATGATTTTAAGGTTTTTGGTGAGAGAAAAAAAAAGGAAGACAAAATTTTTATTTTATCTTGTTTAATTGTATTAAAGTAAAAGAAGAAGAATAACTATATAAGTATCATTTCATATTTTTAATAATAATAAAAGATAATTTCAAATTTTAATAACATAAAAACAGTTTCTCTCTATTTTCCTCTAAAATGAATGGATTAAAGAAATAACAGACTCCATTTTTACCTTTATATGATTCCTTCCTTTGTATAAATGAAGGAAGAAACACTTTTAAAATCTTTCTCATTTCATATTTGATCGTTGCAAACAAATACAAAGAAAAGTTTCATAAAAAATACATCTTGTAGATTTATGCGAAGACATTTACTTTCACAAGAGAAATCTTGTTTTTATTATCGAGTTATATTATTATGCCTTTTTTTTCTTTATAGTTTTCTATTATATCAATCATTTTATTTATATTCCATCTTATCTTCTTATGTCTCTTTTTGTTATATTTTAATATGAAATTTATTTACAAATAACATTTCTCTTTGTTTTTTCTTACAAATAGGTATTTATATTTAATTAATCAATTATAATAAATCAAACTATATGCGGAAGAAAAAAATAAAATCAAAGTTTGGACATTTAAAGATGCCAGGTATGTAACATGTGTATTGCATTCTAGTGAAAAACATAATCTCACGTTTATATAGAAAAAAATCAATATATAAATGAATAAGAATTTAATTTTCTTACTATATCTTTATGTCTTAGAAATTAAAGTATTATAGTGTACACATTACAAATTTATAGTACGTAAAAATACAAGTAAGTTTGATATAAAATATATAAAGTTGTTGATATGTTGACATAATTAAGATTGTTATATTATATAATTTGATTCAGCGATTTTGTCATAATTTTAGTTTGGACTTAAGATTAGAGGTATTTACAAACTATCCTTCGTCGCATCAATATAAATTATGTGAATTTTACAACGAAACAAACTCTCACTCTTTCTAGTGTTAAATGTTTGAATTTCAAGATCATTGATATCATTAAAAATATCAGATTGAAATTATTTTACTTTTATGTTGTGTATTTCATATTGTAAAACTATTTTGATAAATTAAGAAAAAAATATTAATCATCATTAGTATCACCTTTAAAGTGATATAGCATATTCAAATGTATCAACACATCAAGTACCGAAGAGTACGAAAATATTTGACATGCAGAAAATTAGTATAATGCTAATTAAGCTTTGGTATATTTCATAAATAAAATCTCCAATTTAAATGTTATAAACGAAAAAAACCGTATCAATATTACAAAGAAAAAAAAATCATAACATCCAATCTTTACGAATAATACGATGAGATCTTAAAGTTTAAAATTTGAAGTTTCAAAAAGACCGTCCAGCCCGGTCTAACTTGAAATTGATCTTTTATTTAACATACATTTTAAAATAAATTATTATTTTTAATCAAGACTTATTTTATGTTAGGTTAAAGGATTAATGAATTAATGTTTCTATTTAAAAATTAAAAATATTTATTAAAGTATTTACATTAAATTAATTAATTAAAAAATATTTAAATAAAATTAAAAAATAAAAATATTTTAAAATTTAAATTATAATAATTATAAAATAATAAATCTATTTAATTTTAAAATAAAAATTAAAAATATATTATTTTTTAATAACTTATTTATTAAAATAATAATTAATTATTAAATCTAAAAATAAATAAATATATAAAATTTATTTTTATATTTATTTTTAAAATTAAGTTAATATTTTATCAAATTAATTTAATATATATATATATATATATTAAAAAAATTATTTTTATTTTTATTTAAAAATAATAATTATTTTTTGAAACATACACGTGAACATAATATATTAATCTAAGTCGATGCATACCATCACCTAAATCAATAAAAATAAAATAAATATGATTTAATTTTGGTCATAAATATTTTAATTATGAAAAACATATCAAAATAAATATTTATTGACGTTATAATAATAATAATATATAAAAATAATTAATTTTTAGTTATAAAAATATAATATATATTTATGTTATTTTTTTAATTATACAATTTTTAAAATCTTTTTTCTCAAATATAAAATAATAAATACAAAAAATATTTATTTTTCATTTTATTTATTAATTTTATTTTATATTTATTTATCTTCAATAATTCATAATTTTATACATAAATATTAATATTTTAATTTATTAACATATATTAAATATTATTAAAATTACAATAAAAAATAGAATATGAATACAAGTATATTATATGTGTGTTTTTAATAATAATAATTATTATTATATTATATTATTATTATTATTATTATTATTATAAAATATTTATTAAAAAAATTATATTTAAAACAATTGTCAAAATATGTATAAATAAAAGGTGACACGATGATAGTCGTACACGCAGTTACCACATTAAGCGGTCGGAAAGCTGTGATTGGCCAGTTTTTGGATATGGAAAGCTGACCTTACCATCAGATCCTCCATTATCATCATCTGCAACACAATTTATTCCCTTTTAATTTCTTATTCCTAAATTTCTTCTTATAATTTATTTTTATTTTTATTTTTATTTATTATTACATTTTTAAAATTAGTTCTCCAAACTTAAAATCATACATTTTAAAATTATAAAATAATTTCTATTGTCATCTTGTAATAACTAAAACAAAACATAACTATAAAAATAATAATAACCGTATTGCATACATTAAATGGTTTAAATAAAACATTTTATTTATGATTTAAGTTGAAACTAATCCAGGTTCAGAGATAATTTGTCTACCATATGCTAATCGTAACTATTTTTGCATACAAAATCATTTCTTATTTACAATCCTGATTTTCTATTATTATGCGCTAATCAAAGTTTTAAATGTTAGGAAATTATAGGTCATGTATATGTATGATGTATAATTTAAATGTGTTAGAGTCATTATTTATTAAACAAAATAATAAAGTGATTTGACTAAATTAAAGTTGTGACTAAAGGTATATGTTATGAAAATAAAATTGTGTAGAGAGTAATTTCTAATTTGATGAGGGGCCAAATTTAAAATACTAAAACTTAAGTAACTAACCTAATTCTGTTTATTTTAAGGGGTCATGATCCCCTTCTGGGAGCACGTAGACAGAACGTAAGTTTCATTCTTGTTCCTTTCTTTCTATCCCCATCAAGAGAGAAAATCAATAGGAAAATATAGATGTTTTTCATGTAGAAGACCATAAGATCAATATATAATGTTTTACAAAGACATCATCATTATGACTAATTCAGGTACACTTTCGTATTCGGTTTACAACATGTTTATCAATACGAGATTACGTTTATATTTGATCGTTATAATCAAAATAAAGATTATTATTATTGTTATTAATTTTCCAACATCAAGCTTACTGAAGCTGTCAGAGCATCTTCATTTTTTTTTCACTTAAAAAATAATTTAGTTAACGGAGGAAATTTCCGTGTAAAGTAGATATTTTAATTTTTTTTATTTGCAATAAATTGTTTTTAAACTATAAAATATAATATTTTACTTAATCTTTAATCTAATTATATATGTAGTCTAAACTAAATAATAACCAATTGTAATTTCTTTGAAATTAGCTTTTTCTATTAAAAAAACTAAATGTAATGTTTCTTCTAATGACATTTGAGTCGAAATTATAAATCACATATAAAAGGGTTTATCCCTTTCTGATTTAGTTTTTATTAAATAATTTTGAATTTTTATCAAATAGTTATTCAAAACAATCATAAAAGTTTTTAATTTGATTCAATTTTAATTTTATATAATACTGAAATTAATTCAAAGGATAAAATATATTTTCATACATTAATTATGAGAAATATTTTTGTGTTTATATTATAAATAATTAATTTTATATCAAATGAATTATTAAATAATATATATGACTTTAAGTACTATTTAGTAAAACAATATATCTTAAGTTTTCTAACAGAAACTTGAATATTATACATTTACGAAATGAAATTGAAACTTATTGTACTTAAAATCAACACACACACACACAATTTTTTAACAAAGTAATTAATATGGTATGAAAATTAAAATAAATATTTTAGTTATATTAAAAACAACTAAATATCATAATTATTGTATAAAAAATATATTTTGTCATAATTCAAACAAAATTAAAATTTTTATAATGTAGTTTGAATTAATTTTTATTATTATAAGTTTTAAATATTTTAAAAAAATTATAAAACATTTTTTTAATAAAACTTATTAAATATTTTATATGAAAAAAATAAAATAAAATAAAAAATAATAATACGAATTTACTATCATGATACGTATAATAAATACATATATATAAAGTATAATTAAGTTATAAAATAAATTTCAAGAATATTAATTCTAAGTTTGCATATGTTTATTAGCTAATAATTAATTATAAATTTATAACATTATATTTAAATAATAGTTTGATTACGAATACGAATATTAAATCAAATGGCGCTGTTAATGGAAAAGGTAAATTTAATAAAAAAATTGTTTATCTAATTTTAATTTTTTTAAATCGATTTTCAATTTGATTAAATGTGATTCTATTCATTCTATAATTTCCACCGTCAAATTTCTAAATGTATTAATAATTAAAAAAAAAAAAACAAGTGAGCTTTCGAAGAGTAGGTTCACCTAGTTTTTAATGAATTTTGATTTGGTTCCTTCACAAGTTTTTGTAATTTTTTCTTTTTCTTATTTTTATATAATTAAATAATTAACATGAGATCCTCTATGAGCTACCGAAGTCAACTTAACTTGAATGTTAATATGTTATCGTTTTATATATAGTGATATTTAACTATATATAAGAACACATTATGTGAAATTAAATGAAAATTAAAGTGAGTGAAGCAATAAATGAAATGTAATTATATGAATATAAGAAAAAGGTTCCATCATCGATGATCTTCCATAATGAGCATAGTTGGCCTCCTTCGTGTCTTCAAAAGACAAAACCATGCAAAGCCAAAACCATCAAATTATAAGTCCTTCACCCAGACAAGTCACTCCATAATTATTACGATTTCTCATACTCTTCTGTCATTCTTCCCAACAATAATAATAAAGAAAAGTCTTTGGGTGCTTCCAATGTTATTTTTCCAATCATAATTAAATAATACAAATTTAAGTTATTATTAATTGAAGTTAAATTTCTTTTGTGATATATCTTAACCTAATTCAGTCTTCAATGTAAATATTATTTTTAAATTTATTATAATTGTCAAATAATATATTATTTATAAATAACAAATAAATATAAAAAGATTAAAAAATATAAAAAAAATATGTCGTTAAATTTGTAAATATATAAATATATTTAATAATTATTAAATTTAAGGAAGTTTGTTAATATATATTACTAAGCTTTAAGAATAATTTAAATAGTTAAAATTATAAATATTAATATAAATTACAAAATTTTGAGAGACATATTTCCAAAAAATTATTTAACCTAATTTAACAAAAGATATAAAATAATAATATAATTATTATTTTATTTATTTAATTATTATATTAATTAAATATATATATATATATATATATTAAATGTAAATTATTAATATAGTCTATTATAAAAATTATAATTTTTAATAAAAAATATGATTTAAATCATCTATTTCATCCAAAGTGAATTGAATTAGATCATGTATAAAAGAATTTTGGTTACAGTAATATAAATAATATAAATTTTAGAGGCAAATATTTAATATTTTGGTCACAATAATATAAAAATACTGTTGAAAATCTACATCAAATTGATTTATCACGTAATGAATGAAGAAAAAATATTAAAACCTACTTTGATTTGCTATATATTTTTATATAGTATAAATATTATTGATTTATCTTATATATAATTTTGAAATATAAAATTAATTAATTATTATTATTTTTAAAATTGGATCGTTATAAGAATTTTATATATTAGCTATGACACATTCTGTAGTTATTTTATAACTAATCTCTCGCTGGTATATTTTGTTATAGATTAGTTACGGAATAACTATGGAATAGTCCGTAACTAAATCCAAGTAGCTAATTAGATACTGATGTATTCTTTTTCAAATTTGTAGCAAATTTTGTCGCTAAATCCATTGCTAATTTAAATGATGAAGTTTTGTTTATCTCTAGCTAATTTGATCTCCCAAAACTTGTAGCTAATATGTAGTTAATCATTCGCAATTTTTCTCTCGCTAATCCTCGCAATTTCGCTCTCGCTAATCCCTCGCAATTTCATTCTCGCTAATTCGTAGTTAATCTCTCGCTAATCCGTAGCTAATCTCTCGCAATTTCACTATCGCTAATTCGTAGTTAATCCCTCGCAATTTTTCTCTCGCTAATCTGTAGCTAATCCCTGACAATTTATCTCTAGCTAATATGTGGTTAATTCCTCACAATTATTTCTTCGCTAATCCGTAGTTAATCCTTCGCAATGTTTCTCTCGCTATTTCATAGCTAATCCCTCACAATTTTTATCAAAATTCTTTTCTCGCTAGCCTGTAGTTAATCTCTAGCTAATCAGTAGTTAATCTCTCGCTAATCCATAGCTAATCTTTCACAATTTTATTGGCGTAATAAATATTTCTGCTAATGTATCATATAACATTATAATATCAAATGTTTAACATTTAAATTATTACTCATATTCTTAAAAAAGAAGACAAACTTATCAACTTTCAATATAAAAGTATTGTTTAAACATAGTTAAAATGATGTTTCAAACAATTAAAATATAACAAAAATAATATTTCAACTAAAAAGTTTTGTATAACACAATTAAAAATAAAAACAAAGTTTAAAGTACGTTTTCATTATTGTTTCTTTAAGGAAGATAATAAATCTTTTTCGAAAGATTGCATTTCTTCTTGCATTTGTTGTTGCATGAGTGTTTGCATTTACGCTTATGTCTTCATTTGTGCTTGCATCAATGCTTGCATATCGGTTTGTGCCTGCAACTATGTTTTCATATGCTCTTGCAAACTAGATATCTGTGTAGCTAAGGTAGTGATTTCTTCAGTGAGAGGTGTGGTAAGATTTCGAGAAGAGGGACCTTCAACTAATGAAGATGAAACATGTGAAATACCAAGATCCAAACTCTGACCTATACCATAAATTCTACCTTTTTTACTTTCACCAGCAGTCTTTATCCAAATATCGGAATCAACTATAGGATGATTTGATGTAACTTCCCCATATGTTTCAGTCATAGCATTTTTATACGATTCCTACATCAAATTAATATTTTAGCAATATTATAAATAAACAAAATTTAATATTTATAAAATATACACACTTACACTGGAATTTTTTACTTTGTTAGACACATATTCATCATCTTTCTTTTTATGAACTTTGATATATAATTCACCATAAGAAATAGGATGTTTGTGCTCTTCTTCATGTGAAATAATTTACAATTCAAGATTCAAACATTAATATACTAACATCAAACCCAATATTCAATTTATAACTAGTAATCAATATTGATTAACAATTATATGATCAATGTATTAAATGTATAAAGTATGAATACCATTTTTTTCAAGTGTTGTCCAAAGCTTCTTGATCCTCCTGTGTGCATCATGGCATCAGGCTTGGCAGCCCTATTGGCCTTACCTGCAATGGACTTCTTTTTCATTCTTCCGTTGCCTATATGTCTACTAATCCATCCCACATCTCTGTTCCTATACTTCTTAGTCCAAAACCCTTTAAGTCTTCAATATTATCTGAATTTGTCTTCTCTTTTGCCTTTTTCCTTGCCTTAGCTAAAGAGTCAGAATATCGATCCATGCATGTCGATTCCAAATTTTTCTTGTCATACTCTTATCATAAGTTGATGAAAAACGATACTTGTTTTACACCAATAAAAATTAGATAAATTTATTATTTAATACAAAAGTTAAAGCAAAACTATTTAAGTATTTTAACACAATAATTACTAACCATGAAATCATTGAATAAATTTTCTTTCATATCAATAGAATAATTTTTCCAATTTGGTGCTTGGATTTGGCATTCTCATAAGTAACTCAAATATAATATCTCGAAGTTAATGAATCAGGACCAAACCTCCTCCTACAATTTAAAATTCTCAATATATAAATTATTATGATTTAGTAATATAAAGATAAATAACTAATAATTAAGTTTAGCTCCACTTATGGGTTACTAACTCGTTGCACGAGATATAACAAGTCTTCTATCAACTTCATTATGAGAATTTTCACTTGAAGGCTTCTCTGTAGATTGTGGGTTATCATACGTTGGAACAACATTTGATTGGTCAACATCAATTGGTGGGATGATGGTTGTTGATTGACCACCACTAGTTGATTGGCCAACCTCAGTTGATGGTTCATGGATGGAAGTAGCAGCTAAGACAAGAATAAGGAAAAATACATTATATTCAAATAATTTAAAAGTTAATAACAGGGTGGCATGCACAAACAGAGTGGATAAGGAACAACAATCTATTCGACTACAACATGCACAAACAGGGAACAAAGATTTGATGCATTACTTATAAATATGAAAAAACTACAGCAACACTCTCAAACATCATCAAAACTCGATAAAAAATTAAACCATATTTAGAATAGACACAAAAGGAACCACGCACCTTTCTCTCTATGGCAGGATAGAGGGAAAGAATTTGTTCTAGTGGTTTCAAAACCACAAGGCTAGGGATAGACAGAAGCTCAGATAGAAACTCAATAACTACAGCTCTTGTGTGCAACAAAGTGAAGGGTGAACAAAACCTGCTCCCATGAATCACCACACCAGCATTGGAGCCAGGAAATATCTGAAAAGGAAACTAAATAAAAAAATAGAAAAGGTACTGAAAACACTGTTGAGATTACAACACATGGCAATGATCAGAACATCTTGTGGGCTCATGTGTTAGGGACCATCCTTTGATCTTGAGTGGAATCCCAAAATCGTAGGCATTGCAACACTAGGCCCAAAATAAACCACGTAGGAAGAGAGGGACAAAGGAAAATCACAAAAATGCAGTTAATCCAAAACTATACTGTGAGCGGCAGAGGCAGTGGTGGCAGCGACAACAGCAACGACGACAACAACAACAGCGGTGACAACAACTGTGGCAGTGGCGGCAACGATAGCGGTGACAACGTCTGTAATAGCGTGAGAACTTTTAGGTTTCAAAGAAAAGTGAGAAGGGGATTAGGTATAAGAAAGTGAGATGAAATTTTTTTTTTTAATTATAAAAAAATATTATTTATAAATTTTTTTACTAATTTAAATATTATTAAATATTTCCTACAAATTTAAATTTATAAAAAATTTACAGAAAATAATTTTAAAAATTTACCAATTTTTTTTAGATATTTTTTCAAAAAAATTATAATTATTTCAAAATAATTTATTTTAGATATAGAAAATAAGTTTATATATATATATATATATAGTAAATTTGATAAAAATAAATTTATAATTACTTTTTTGCTATAAATTTATTACAATTTAATTATGATTGTATGTTATATAATTTAACTAAGAAATAGCTTCAAAATATAACATAGTTAATATTTATAGTTAGGGATTAATGATAAAAATTATTTCTAGCTAAATTATGTTTCTACTAAGTGAGAAAATAACTACAAAAATATTATCTTCTAGCTATTTTACTACAGATTGACTACAACTTCATTCATTTACTATTCCATAGCTAATTAGCTACAAATTAGTGAAAAATAAATTTTGTAGCAAATTTTCCTAACTAATCTAAAAATTTCTTGTGGTGGACCAAATGGTCGGTCTAATCAATTTAAAAAAATTGAAATTTAGCTAAATCAATATAAAAATTTATTTTAATTGTTTTTCTTTGTGTTAATATTTTTTTATTATTAATAAATTAATAATATATTTATTATATTATAAAAAATATTATTTTACTAAAGTTAGATACTGATTTTAAAAACACTCACTTATTTTATAAGTTTCTTTCACCAAGAACTTGAATAAGGTGAATATTTTATGCAATAAATATGAAAATGATGTTATGAGAGGTATCTCTGATATTTTTTGTAACAGTAATAGTTGTATACAGATAAAATTGAATATTTTATTATAAATTTTATATACGAGTGATTTAAAATTTGATAAATTTTTTTATTTTAAATAATTGTATTTATTTTTAAAAAAATTATTTGTGAAATTTATAATAAAATATTTATTTTTATTTTTAAATAATTCTTTTTAACAATTTCCATTAAAGATTCTCACGTGGAAAGTAAATATGAAAAATAAATAATTATTTTTTTATATCACCTTATCACTTAAAAGATTTATATGTTTTTATAAAAAATATTTAATTTGTATATATTTATTATCATCATTCATGTTTTTTTTAATATTTATATTGGAAAGTTACTTTCTATTACATAAAATTTATGTTATTAAAATTATTTTGATACTTAATATTTAGAGCAAACTGAAGTATCCAGAAAAATATTTTATATTTAAATTTAATCCTAGTTATCTAAATCCAAATTATTTTAATAGGTTTATTTTAAACATAAATTCACATTTTTATGTTAAATACAATTCAATTAATTGGATTCGAATTAGATATAAATTAGATTTTTTTTTGGATTTTTAAAATCTAAAATCAAAACATAAAAGTCAAGTTAAAATAGATTAAATCAAAATCTTAGTTAGATTATTCATTTCATTTAAACTGAATAATTAAATTAAATTACACTTAAATTCAATTAAATAAACGTAGATCTAAATTTAATATATTTTATTAGATATTTTAAAAATTTAATTCATGTGCACCGCTATAATTACATGATCTTGCAAAATCTGATCTGGATTAGACTCACTGAAACATGAAAGCTAAAATAACACTTCATTATTAATATTTGATTTTAAGAAAATATATATTTGCATATATTTTTCTTCTTCGATAAACTAAAATTTTTCAACCGACCCATTGCACCTAACCCCTTCTGCATCTGGTCGTGACAATGTGGGAGGGAGTAATCGCAATTCCATTCTATGTTGATGTGACAAAATTCAACCTTACGACATTCTTTCTACACCCAAAAAGCAGTCCAATTCAGCAGATATATAATGATGCAAGAAAAGTAATAGAAAGATATCTTTTTCCTATTATATATTGTGGATGTCACAAAAAGTTATGAATTGAAAAAGAAACCCTAATCTCATTTGATTTTCGTGTATCTTTTCCTGCACGTCTTCTCCTCCAATGCCTCTAATGGAACGACCAAAACAGTGGTACCTGAACATTAGTGAGCCAAAACGAAACCCATTTTCACGCAATAATGATTCTTTAAATCGCTCTTAGACATCATTTCATTTGCTATTTTTATTTCTGATGAAAAATTTCTTAAAAAGAAGAGTTTCATGAAAGATATTTCTCGAAGAAGATATGATAAAATAAGAAAATATGATTAAATCATATTAATTACAAATATAATATTATAACATAAAAATAAATAATAATGTTTTTTCAGTTAATTTTATATGATTAAGTGTGTATAATCAAATTTCAAACTTTTTTAAAATATCTTATTCGGGTTTGTATGAATATAAAATTATTATTTTACTTGAAATTACTCAAGTATAAAATCATTATTTTATTTGAAATCACAAGAATATAAAATGATTATTTTGTATGAGATGACCTTCTATAAAATTGTTGTCTTACTTGGGTTATATAATTATAAAATTTATCTTACTCAAAGTCGGATGAATTTATCTTATCTTGTTTATCCGAAATTCTTGTTATGAAGACTTTTGACACAATGATCCATAATATATAATTTTTCACATACTCTAATCATATGTTACCTTAATTGGGGTTATACAAGTATAAAATTTATCCTACTCGAAGTCGCATAAATTTATCCTACCTTATTTACTTGAAACCTTTGTCATGAAGACTTTCAACACAAGTTACATAAATCTACATTTACCATACTTGGAGTCACACAAGTTACACATACAAGTGTCACATAAGTTATACATATTTTACTCAGGTATATGAGTTATCAAAACATGCATCTACCTTACTTAGGAACACACAAGTCATACATGTCTTACTCAATTATGAGTTATCAAAACCTGTGTTTATATTACTTGGAATCATATACATACCTTATTCGAGTGCATAAGTTATCAAAATTTGTGTGTTAAAAACTCTAATCGAAGTCACCAGTCTAACATTTGCATACTTGACTAACACAATTACACAATTTATGAACGAGACGATTTGTAACTTTATAATCATACTACACGCACATGACAAATGTAAATCATTTTCTAAATGAACGAAATTTTGATTTTCAAATGACGATCTTCTTGAACTCCTCTCTCATTTTCCTAAAGTTTGATTCATTATCTTTGCATGATAAATAAAATAGGTTTTACTAAGTAAATTTCACGAATATATCCTAGTCTAACTGAATAATGATTGATTGGATAAACATATTTAAACTAAATATTACTTGTTTACATAATGAAATAATTAACTCAACCTTAAACTTGTTGATCTCTGTTCCTAAATGAACTCAATTTTTAAGCTTGGAGGACTATCTATCCAACCCAAATTCATTAAAATCACTTTATTTATTTAATTATCTTCTTATACATTATCTTATTAATTATATTTTGTGTGAGAAGAAAAGTCCCACATCAGGGAAATCTTAGTTTGATGCTTCCTTTTCTTACTATAAAAGGAGCACAATATTTACCTTGTAAAATGCACAAAAACTCACTTCTTTTTCTTTCTCTTGCTGTTTTAGTACTTGAGAGATAAATTAAGAGAGAAGAATAATTTCTCCTTTTAGGTTCTCTTAGAGTTGTTTTTCCTTTATTTTCATGAGAGGATGTTATTGTTTCCTCCTTGGAGGTAGAGAGAGAAATTAGTGAAATTACTCTTTTGCCTATTGTCAGTGTTTTTCTCATCTTTTTATTTTAGTTGTGTGTTTATGTTTTTGTCTGATACCTAATAGTGGTATCAAAGCCATTAGGTTGTCATATTTATCTTCTGTTGCATAGTCATTAGAATTCTTAGTATGTTCTGTGGTTGCGGTTAATCTGATCTTCCACATTAGAAAAAAGTTATTCTTGTTACTAGATATTATTTAGTAGTGTGATAGTGCATGTCTAGGAAAAGTTTTGGCAAGAAAAAAATTGGTATTTAAACGTGTTCATTAGTGACTCACCTCTCTTTCTTGGGAACTTACCTGATGTACTGATTCACGGTTCATTAGTGACCCACCTCTCTTTCTTGGGAATTTACCTGATGTACTGATTCACGGTGTACCGTTATTGTTCTAGTAGGTAATACTATTCATAGTGAGGATTGCATAGGTCGGTTTTGGAACCATGACAACAAAATATGAGAAAGAAATTCAATGGAAGTAATTTCTCATTGTGAAAATTAAAGATAAAGGCAATTTTGAGGAAGGACAATTATATTGATGCAATTATGGAAATAACCGTGAAACACAAGGATGAATGACGATTGAAAGAAATGAACGATAATACTATTGCTAATTAGCACTTATTAATGACAAATTCAATTTTATCCAGTGTTGTGGAGAAGACTTCTGCGAAGGAGATATCCTCATTAAACTATATGAGGTGAAGTCACTTCACATAAGAATATTTTTGAAGAGAAAACTCTATAATCTTCGGATGAGTGAGTTCACATCAGTGACAAACCACATCAACCATTTGAATACCTTGTTTGCCTAACTATCAGTGTCATATTTCAATATAGTTGAAAATGAGCGTGCAGAGCTTCTACTTCAGAGTTTACCTGATTCGTATGATCAACTCATAATCAATTATTACAAATAATAATATTGGCGGGAATATGCACTTTAAGATGTCGCTGGAATTATTCTTGAAGAAGAATCCAGGAGAATCAGTAAGGGCGAAAGTTTCAAACAAGCAAAGACTTTGACAATGATGATAGAAAGATCAACAGAACGTGACTCGAGTAATGATAGATCGAGGTCTTGAAGTAAGAAGAGTTCTAAAATCAAATGCTACTTTTGTGGCAAGAAAGGACATACGAGAAAAGAGTGTTGGAAGAGGAAGAATGGAGGAAACAACTCTGAAGAATCAACCTCACAAGGTTATGTTGTAAGTACCTTGGAAGATGGAGATATTATGGTGAGTGAAATAGTAATTAGCTCTAATGGTGAAAAGGAGTTTCATGACAAGTGGATAGTGGATTCAGGTGCAACATGACACATGACTCTGCACCGAGATTGGTTTTACATTTATGAACTATTCTCGGGTGGATTTGTCTTCATGGGAAACAACCATGCATTGGAGATTACTGGAGTTGGTATCGTCAAAATTAAAATGTATGATGGTACTATTCGCACAATTCAAAGGGTACGACATGTGAAAAACTTAAAGAAGAATTTATTGTTCATTGGACAATAATATGACCTCGGGTGTAAGATCTATATTGAAGGTGGAATCTTGAAGGTGGTGAAGAGGAGTTTGGTGGTTATGAAGACAACGAAGATCATGACATATTTGTATGTGTTGTTTGGAGATACGTTGCAAGAAGCGGATGCATCAATTGCGGTAACAAGTCAGGAAGATCCAGTGATCATGTGACATCATAGAGTTGGTCATATGTTAGAATGTGGTCTGAAAATCTTTGCAGAACGTAATCTCTTACCCGGGCTTAAAAAGGTTAGTTTACCCTTCTACGAGCACTGTGTGATAAGCAAGCAACATAGATTGCAATTTGCTAGAGTGACTGCTAAAAGTAAACACATATTGGACTTGATTCATTCTGATGTGTGAGAATTGCCGGTACTATCCCTCGGAGGAGAAAAATATTTTGTATCGTTCATCAATGATTACTCTAGGAGATTGTGGGTATACCCTATCAAGAAGAAGTCAGATGTATTTTCACAGTTCAAAGAATTCAAAACACAAGTAGAACTTGAAACTGGGAAAAGAATTAAGTGCTTGAGGACAAATAACGGAGGAAAATATGTAGACGGAGAATTTTTAGTATTTTGTAAGCAAGAGGGTATTACCAGACAATTTTTTGTCCCAATACGCCTCAGCAAAATGGTATAATAGATTGAATGAATAGAACTCTTCTAGAAAGAACTAGAGCTACGTTGCAAATAGCTAGAGTAACCAAGTCTTTTTGGGCAGAAGCGGTTAAAATTGTCTGTTATGTTATAAATTGGTCACCGTCAACTGTCATTGAATTGAGCACACCAATGGAGTTATGGAAAGGTTAAACCAACTGATTATTCATCCGTATGTGTTTTTGGATGTTCTGTGTACGTGATGTACAACACTCAAGAAAGAACAAAATTGGATCCAAAATCCAAAAAATGTATCTTCTTAGGTTATGCTGACAATGTGAAGGGGTATCGCCTATGGGATCCCACTTCCCACAAGGTTGTTGTTAGCAGAGATGTAGTCTTTGCAGAAAATGAATTGCAAAAGTGAGTAGACAAATAACAGCTTGATAAAGGACACAATTATAGTATAGATAAAGAAGAAGTCATCGAATGACTCGTCTGAGTCAGAAGAGGAGCACGAAGTTCAAAAGCCAAATGAGGTTGGTAATGGAGATCTCCGGCGATCAACACGAGAAAAAGCTAGACCATCTTGGCATTTGCAATATGTGATGGCAAGTCATGATGTGTATTGTCTTCTAAATGAAAAAAGAGAACCTTCAACTTTTCAAGAGACTATGAGTTGTTTAGATGCTTCTCTATGGATGACTGCAATGCAGTAAGAAATAGAGGCTCTTTATAAAAACAAGACATGAAATCTTATGGAACTTCCGAAAGGTCGAAAATTCATTGGTTGCAAATGAGTCTATAAGATCAAGAGAGATGACAATGATCAAGTAGAAAGATATCGTGCTAGATTGATGGTAAAGGGATGTGCTCAGAAAAAAAAGTATTGATTTCAATGAGATATTCTTGCCGGTTGTCAAATTGAAGTCCATCAGAGTTGTCCTAGCTATGTGTGTTGCATTTGATTTACATCTTGAACAATTGGATGTAAAGACTACTTTTCTTCATGGAGATCTTGAAGAAGAAATTTATATGATCCAACTATAAGGCTTTAAAGAACAAGAAAACTTGGTTTGCAGGTTGACCAAATCTCTATACGGTATAAAACAGGCACCCAGATGTTGGTATAAGAGATTCGATTCCTTCATTATTTGTCTTGGTTACAGTAGACTAAGCTTAGACCATTGTACATACTACAATTGGTTTGATAATAATGATTTTGTTATCTTGTTATTGTATGTGGATGACATATTGGTAGTAGGCCCCAACATAGATCGAATCCAAGAGTTAAAGGCACAGTTGGCTAAGGAGTTTGACATTAAGGACTTGGGACCAGCAAACAAGAATTTAGGGATGCAAATTCACAGAGACAGAAAAGATAGACAGGTTTGGCTTTCTCAGAAGAATTACTTACTGAAAATCTTGTGGCACTTCAACATGCAAGATTGCAAGCTAATTTCCACCCCACTTCCTATCAATTGTAAGTTATCCTTAAGTATGAGTCCCAGCAATGAAGCTGATGAAAATGTCTCGAGTATCGTATGCATCAGCCGTAGGAAGTCTTATGTATGTCATGATTTGTACAAGACCAGACATTGCACAAGTAGTGAGAGTAGTTAGTAGTTTCATGGAAAACCTTGGTGGAGAGCATTTAAGTGCTATAAAGAGGATCCTTAGATACATTAAAGGAACCTCAGGTGTTGCAATATATTATGGAGGATTAGAACTAGTTGTCAGAGACTATGTTGATTCAGATTTTGCAGGTGATCTGGATAAAAGGAGATCTACTACTGGTTATGTGTTTCCAGTTGCAGGAGGGGTAGTAAGTTGGTGATCCAACTTACAAGATGTTGTAGCTCTGTCTACCACAAAAACTGAGTACATGTCAGCCACCCATACATGTAAGGGAGCTATTTGGATTAGGAAAATAATGGAGGTACTAGGGCACAAACAATAACAAATTGTTGTGTATTGTGACAGTCAGAGTGTCTTGCACATTGCAAAGAATTCAGCCTTTCATTCCAGGACAAAACACATAGGAATAAGATATCATTTTGTTCGAGAAGTAATGGAAGAGGGTAGTGTGGATATGCAAAATATTCACACAAATGAGAACCTAACAGATGTTATGACAAAGCTGATTAGTGTTCACAAGTTTGTATGGAGTCGATCCTACTATGACCTAGCAGAAAAATAAACAACATGGATAACAAGAATAAAGCAAGCATGGTGTGAAGATTTGATTAATTTAATCAAAATCTTCAAGGGGAAGATTGTGAGAAGAGAAGTCCAACATCAGGAAAATCTTAGTTTGGTGCTTCTTTTTCTTACTATAAAAGGAGAAAAGTATTTACCTTGTAAAATGTACCAAAATCACTTCATTTTCTTTCTCTTGCTGCTTTAGTACTTGAGAGATAAATTAAGAGAGAAAAATAGTTTCTCCTTTTAGGTTCTCTTAGAGTTGTTTTTTCTTTATTTCCAGGAGAGGGTGTTATTGTTTCCTCCTTGGAGGTAGAGAAAAGAATTGTGATTTCTTTCATTAGTAGAATTACTCTTTTGTCTATTGTCGGTGTTTTTCTCATCTTTTTATTTTAGTTGTATCTGTTTATGCTTTTGTCTGATACCTAATATTTTGGACTATTAATTATTATCTTTTAGACTATTATTATCTTTTGAGTTCTAAATAAGGAGACCCAGTTAGGGAGTAAATCTCACTGTATAACTCATTCTCAAATACATTACTTTTTTATCTAAAAATCGATTTGAGCGTCAAAGTGTCTTTTGCAGGTGAGTCTCTGCTTTTTTCAAAGAAATTCATTCAACATGCTCAAAGCCGAAAGCGAAATCGAAGCTTGGAATACAATCTACTAATCCTAGTATGTTTTAGAAATATAGTTAATAGTTAAGGTTATGTAATGAAGAGTACTTCAATAAAGATTTATAAAAAAATTAAAATTAACTTTGTAATAAGTTAAAATTGGATTATATACAAATTTTAGAAGATTCTTTTATGTAATTTATTTTTTATTTTTAGATAGATAGTAATTATAAAAAATTGTATAAAGAAGAATATTCAAGTCTTATTATTGGAATTTTCGAGTAGGTTGGAATTACACGATAAATATATAAAAAAGTTGAATAACATATAAATAATATTACATTCTCTTGTATGATTTATAACAATATAATATTTTTTAATATATTCAGGTATGGAAATTATTTAAGTAATAATATGTATGAAAATAAAATATATATGTTTTGTTGTGTTGTAATGAAAGTATAACGATATGTTTATATTGTTTTGATATTATATGATGTTCCTATTGCATAATTGTGGTATAAATGAATTGTATATTTATGTATTAGGATGGGAAAAGACTAGAAAATGGGAAAAATCTTGTTTCTCAACTCTATATTTGCTCAAGTGAGAATTGTGTCATTTGAGTAAAGGTAATACAATGAAAGAAATCACTTAAGGTGATAACTGTTCGCTTAACCAAGAGTGTTTTTTTTTTTTCAAATGAAAGCCAAGTTGACTTAATTTCTATTCAAATAAGACTAATTTTACTCAAATGAGAGTCAAAACAACTTAAATATCATTAAAATAAATATATTTTTACTCAAACGAGACGAGAGAAAATTAATGTAATTAAATTTTTGCCCAAATTTTTAGGATGTTTTCTATCTAAACTTTTAAAAAACATTAAAAAATAAGGCTAAATTCCAAATTTATATTCCATATATTCAAATTGAAGTCGTGAAAATAGGAATTCAATAAAATAAGAATTAGTAAAAAAAAAAAGGTATATAAAAATGAAGTAATGACTAAAAGGGTAGACAAAAGTCAAATAAAAAATACATAATTATATTTAGTCAAAATAAATTCAATTTATTATAAATGTAAGAAAATGACTAATATAATAAATTATAAGATGATATGATGGTATTATATATTCTTGAGATTGAAATATATTTGCTCGAAGTTTAACCGAAAAGTGATTCATTATGTGGAATATATCGATATATTATGAAATATAATTATGTAATATTGTGTGTGTGATAAATTTGATAGATAATTCTTATTTAAATAATTAATTTACCATTATTTTCTTGTTTGTATAATTTTAGTGTTATAACTTGACTAATGTTGATTATAATTTGATCAACATATTGTAATATATGGAAATTATATATAAATAATCTATTTAATTTATAATACAAGTCTAATAAAAGTTATATTAGTATTTTATGATAAAATATTTCATTAGTAGAGATTATGTGTTGTTATACTCTCTTTTTTCTCTTTGTAGCTTAGGAACCATTAATTGAAAAGAAAAATCCATCTTCTTTTTTGTAACAAATAATCGTATTTTGAACCAATTTTTCATGTGAAAGTTGAAGAAAAAAGAAAAAAAAATCATTTTCTATACGAAATGAAGTTTTACTATAACTTACATTATTTTATATTCAAACTTTTATTACACAGTTTGTTGAAATGAAACTATATTATATCTAAAACAACATTAAAATACTTAAGAAGTTATCTAAGTTTTGTCAAGAAAAGGATTAAGTTTTGTAAGTAATATTTTTTACTTCGATATTATGTCATATATGTTATAATATTCACATACTCATTCAAAACTGCAAGAATAAATTAATTTAATTTAAAATTATCTTTTTTCAAATCTATTTCTTCATTTAACTAAAACAAAAGTGGAAAAGTGGCACAAATAATGTAGCCTAGGCAATGCAATAATGGACTTGCACCTTAGGCCCAATTTGAAACAGTAGAAGAATTTTAGCCCAGAGTGACAACATAAAATGACTACAGAATAAACCCTTTTCTTCAATGTTTTGGAAGGTTCTAGAGCCTACAAAATTAGAAGATAAAAAATTTGTTTAATTTTAAAAATACCAAATAAATAAATAAATAAATATTAGTATTTTTTAATTATAAAATATTTTTATTATAAAAATATTTTTTTAATATTTAAATTTAATAATATCGCATTAAAAAACTAAAAAATATATTAAACTAATGATTTATTTTTATAATTGTTTTCTTATTTTTCGTATGACACTTGTATAATTAATATATATATATATATATATATAATTTAAAATTATAAATATAAATATACATATAAATAATCGTTTATTTAATTAATAATAATTTTGTAAAATAATATCTTTTTATATTTTTTATTGGATAATTTTTTTATTACTTTTTACTTTTCACTTTTTTTAATAAATAAACATTTTTAAGACATTTTATTTTATTAAATAATTAACAATTCAAATTTTAATGAAGTTTATGTGTCTTAAATTTTTAAAAATAAGAGTAATTATATATATATATATATATATATATATATATATATATTTTTTTTTTTTTTGAAAAATAAATATATTTTGTTCTACGATAGTGTGATGATAAAAAGTTTTATGTGATATCCAACTAGCATGAAGAGATAACAGCCTCTCGGGGGATTTAGCCAATAAACAAACATATAATCTATGAATATTTGAAGTAAAGATCTTGAAAAAGGAAAAATATTTAATGAAAAAAAATCAAATAATTGGGAATTATAGTTTATTTTGGGCTTTTGGGTTGGATCACATTCACTCTCTCTGGGCCTGTAAGCCTTTGGGTTTCCGTTAGCAGTCAACTATATTTGCTTTTGCTTCAATACTGATTAAATATTAATTTTGTTTAAATATGAGTTAATCTTTGGTTTAATGTTTTAAAGAAATGAGTGCAGATAAATTTAAAAAAACTAATGCAAATAATGAAATTGAATAATGTGAATTGATACTTTTTTTCTGAAAACATTTATATATTTTAAAGAGAAAAAAACAAATAATATAAAAAAGGCATTTATGTTTTGGAAGCACAATAACTTTTTCTTCATGAAAATATTGGAAACCTTGACTAAATAATTGAGCATCATGCATTATTAAAAGTATAAATTTCATAATATTTATAAGATCATAATGTGCAAACGAGTATAAATTTATTTTGAAATAAAAAAAAATTATATAATCTTATGAAGAAATTCACACGTAATTCTATTCTTGAAAGTACAAATTTTATTATAATTTACTCACATAAACTGAATAAAATCACATCATAAAATTTGATGCATGATAATTAATATTTAAAAAGATCACGTCATTGATTTAGTTTGCATTAATTGAATTTGTAAATAAATCATTCGATACCTAACTAGGGTAGGATAATTTGAATGAAATTAGTATACTTAAAAATTCTTTGAATTTACAAGCACTTCACTAGTTGCTGCACTTTTTTTCATTATCACAATTTAACATTTTTAAAATAGTCACATCAATATTGTTCATACATTTTAAGGTAGGAAATATGAAAATGTGAGAAGAAAAGTTTTAAATAAAAAAAATTATATATTAGTCGTTATTTTTTCTAGCATACTGTTAATCTTAAAAATTATTAAAAATCTTTTTTTTTCTATTAACGTATTATATAATAATTGAATTTTCTTATTTATTGTTTTCTCTTTTTTTAATTAATATATTGGATAATAATTAATGTTTCTCATTTATTATTTTATCCTAAAAAAAAAAAGTATTGTAACTCTGATTCCTAACAAATATCATTATGAAAATTCACATTCACAATTGCATCAAGTACACCAAAAAAAGTGATTTTATCTCGATAAAATAATATCAAGAAAAACAATCAATATAAAAAAAAAACAAAAAAAAACAATTTTATAAATAAGTTGAGACATATTCCGTATTACATCAAAATTATAGTAGTATCTAATATAGTATCTACTATATTTTATATAAAATTTTCAATTCTTATTTTAAAAGTAAAATTTGAAAAAAATTTAATTTTAAATAATAAATTACTCTAATGAAGTTTGAAAATGTATATATTTTAAAACTTTTTATCCATACAACATATTTTGTTTTATGATATTCTTTCTACGAATGAATTATCTTGTTAAAATTCTTCCTGCATAAATTAAATTTACTTTTTGCTTAAACATCACGCACGCGTGATGATCATATTTGGCACAGTATTTATCCTTTATATTATCATTAAAACTTGACCTTTCAATCTTGTCTCCTAATAAATTTTACGTGCTGCCTAAGTGTAAATAAGTATATAATTATATGAAGATTTAATTATATTTTAGTTTCTGAAATTCTGAATAAATTTAATTTAACTTTTCTAAATTTAAAAATAAATAATTACAGTTTATAAAAAAAAACTAAAATATTATTTTATAGTTATATATAATTCTTCAAATTTAATATTAAAAAATAAAATCATTTTTTTCTTATTTAAAATTTATTTTTAAATAAAAGGTAAAAAACCCGTTTCACTTAAAGGAATAAAAAATATATTTAAATAAAACTTGTTATTATTACCTAAAAAAATATTCAATAATAATTGTTGAGTATTTTCGAGATGACTAATAGGGAGATTCTCACAAATGGGATCCGAACTAACCATAATATGGTATCACCTTCAACTCAAAAGTATTATGTTATAAGTTTTTTTCACTTATAATGTAAGACTTTAAGCTCAACTTTAATTCTCAACATCTCCCTCTCAAGTGTGGTTTCTTTTTTCACATTAGTATTACATTTCTTAGTCATGAGTATGACATATGTCATAAGTCTTTCTCACATTAGCCTGTCATTGGACGAATCATGAACTCTGATATTAGTGTTGGTATTTTTGAGGAGGCTAACAGTAGGAAGATTTTCATAAATAGGACCCGAGTCAACCATATATAAAAGAATATGACATCATTTTCAACCCAAAATCTTAAAATATTAAGTTATGGATTTTTCACACTTATAAATTACTCAATTTTTTCATTTCTATTTAATATAAGATTTCAATCTCAAACTTAAATTCTCAATAATAATAAATTTGAAATTTTGACTTATCATATATTAAATATATTAAGGGTCATGATGTGTACCTTCGGAATCACAAACCCTTATTTCTGATTTTCTTGCAACCACGACTTGAAGTCCTTTCTCTACGTAGGATGCCTTATCTGTCAGCAATTTTGTCCTTAATAAAAATATTCATTCGTCACCCATTTAACCTATATATTCTCTTCATCTCAACCCAATATATACATATACTTTGAAGTCCATTTATGTTTTAGGTTAAACACATTGTAAATTTAGTTTTATTCCTGTATTTTAAAGCTTAAAAGTTTATGATTTTTCCAATTTTAGTTTTGATCCTTAATTTGTTGGTTCCTGTAAATTTATTCTATTTTATGTTGTGGTCTTCCAACCAAAATGTTCCAACGTTGTTCATTTTATTCATATGTTTGCATTCTCAGTTGACCTGTAGAATTTCTTTCCTTTAGCCTTCTAGTTTTAGGTTTTTTTTTTTTTTTTTTTTTTTTTAATGAGCAAAGAAACTACATATTATACATTGTAAATATACTCTGTTTGTGAGTTCTTGGAACTACCATCATCTAGTGGATATATACATTTTTTTTCCTCAGATTCTTTCTTTGTTCAGCCATGGATTTACTTAAAGAAATTATGTTGCCATTCAAAGTGATGTAAAATGCCATTACAAATGAAATTGTGCAAAATATCAACCATTATTGGTTATTGAAACATTAATAAAAAAAAAAATTTAACTTGATCGATATAATCGAATCTTTTCTGGAAAAAAAATAATGTTTCTACAAAAAAATGGGGAAGGAACCTGCTTATTAAATTTACACTTTATGAGTGGATCCCCATTTCTAAAAAAAATTATTCTTTCTTTCACTCCACTCAAGTTTAGTAAGAACATGCAAGAGTGCTGAAGTGAACTTAGTATTTGCCTTGTCTTCTTTTCATAAATATGTTAAATTGTGTGAAAAAAAAATATTTTAACTACATAATGACCATTCATTTGTTATTAGGTTACAATTTAATTTCAAGTTATTATAAAATAGTTAAATTAATTAGCAACTATATAAGTGCCATGAGGGCATGTTAGTTACCATTTAGATTTTAAATGTCAAATACATCTAAAAAACTTCATTTTTCAAGTTGTTAAAGATAGAGGATAATTAAAAAAAAAATTTAATGCAGCAATATAGCTTGCTACCTAGTCTTTTTTTTTTTTCAAAATATGATGAGAATAAAAATGATAGAGAATATAAATTTGAAGGGTTCTTGTACCAACTTTCATCTACAATATGTTCATAGGTGACAACAAAGTATAAACAAAATAATTTGAAAAATGAAAATGAAAATAAAAACTGAATTTCCCTGCTCTGTAACACTATTTGTGAGCCTGCAAGGTGTCGAGTTCCAAATGGATAAACATCTTTTGCATAGGAAACTGGGGAAAGGTGAAGTGAACCTCAGCTTTTGTAGCATGGGAAAGAGCCATTAGGGTTCTGAAACGTGGCCAAGTTCAGTGGAATTGAATCCAAATGATAAAAGTCTCTCGGGTCCAACAACATCTAGGGTAAAGTTGAAAAAGAAAAAAAGAAAAGTAGAAATTGCCTCATAGATTAGATGAGATTGAAGTGACAATGTGACTGAGAATCGATGACAACAAAGATGAACATTGTTAACCAAATGGAAAACAATGCCACACACATTTTCAATGGCTATTATGACTGAAAACGAAGGTAACACGAAAAATTCTATTCAGGTTGATCGACACGTATTACTGTACCACCTTTTATTGCCTTTCTTTGATACAAACCACCTTTCGTTGTCTTAATTAATGGTGAATATAAAGTGAAATGTTAATAATGTCTCTTCATTTCTGTTTTACGATGTTTTTTACTGTTAATTATGTGATGAGTAGTATTGAATAGTAATTAAACTAATATAGTTAACCAACAACAATCGTTTTTTTTAACTGTAATAACATATATTAAAATTTGTTAAAAACATATTAATATTTCCAGAATCTAAATACAGATATTTGGCATGGCTGTCTCTGTCGGAGAAAGTGGATATAATTTGATAAAGGAAAAGCATCATAATGGAAAAGAGAAAATCCAAGGTTACCATTTTGTCGCATGCAAACGATTTATTTTTCATTTCTCCTTCTCTTCTTTTTTCTAGCATATATTCTTCAAAATAATACACCTAAAGTTTTGAGTGTGGTTGTAAAGATGTTGAAATGCTGTTGAATGAGAATCCAACAGATTTCTTTAGCCATGTTAAGGTTCTTACGACAGAAAAATGAAGGTTGAAGCTGGTAATCAAACACGTCTTTGCAAATGTAATTGTGGTGACATTATTATGATTCTGGTTGCGTAGTAGTCCAATCGATTATACAGAATAAAGTTATTGGAAGTGATTTGTATAAAGTGTTCCCCACTTGACTCATAGTATTCTTTGTATTTGTTCTAATTTATGTCTTATAAAATAATTAAAATCTTGACTTTCTGAACATGTCTTGTGCTCACTTCTAATCCTGATTAAAAAAGTTACATCTTATTTTCACCTTGTCAATTTTTTTAATGAAAATTATCACATGTATTCTTTCTGTTAAAATAGTTTTGTTCACGCTACAACATATAACAAAGTTGTTTTGGTAGTTAATGCATGTAACATGTTCATATTTAAACTCGAAAACTGGTTAAGCTGAAAAATTTTATGTGGCTGATTTGAAGACTCTGAGTTGTTCTCATTTTCAACTTATGGTTTACACTTTACACGAATGCAATATTTCAACGTCAGAGACAATAATGCTAATTAGTAGTAGTTAGTACATTACAAAAACTTTAGCTTCACGATGAGTTCTTGACCTGATATTGCGGGGAAAAGCGTGGTCATTAGGTTTGGCGATAGAAGTAGAATATGGAATCTTGATCATATTATCTTTGCTGTCCCTTATGCATTTTCTTATCTATTAACCCTTCTGCAGTTGAATATATAAATAGAGAAAAGAAAGTGCAATTTAGAACTATGTAGTTATTATTTTACTGTGTGAGTGACTGAGTGAGAGAGAGAGAGAGAGAAAGCATGGGAAGAGGAAGGGTAGTTCTGGAGAGAATAGAGAACAAGATCAATCGTCAAGTAACGTTCTCGAAGCGCAGAAGTGGGTTGCTTAAGAAGGCCTTCGAGCTTTCTGTGCTCTGTGATGCAGAAGTTGCCCTTATCATCTTTTCTAGCCGTGGCAAGCTTTTTCAGTACAGCAGCACTGAGTAATTTCTTTCACTCTCTCTCTCTCTCTCATCTTTCTTTTGTTTTCTTAAATGAATTTCCCATCAGATGCTGCTGCGCATGCATGGTTAATTACCACATGGGGTAATGCAAATTCTGTATTAAGATATATGATCAAATTAGTTAAAAGAGTAACACCAACCTACTTTCTAATACAACCTTATTCTTAGTTTAAATTTATCAGAAACTACAGAATCAGAAAAAGAAAACCATAAAATAAGAAAAAACCACTCACAAAATTCATAATTTCTGATAAATTTCAGCTTCTATGGGTTACCCTTCATTTAAACTTACTTCATAAACTAATTTTTGGAGTTAAGTTCAACCTCTAAAGTCTATGCAAATAATTGATCTTCTCATGTTAGTAACATATTTGGACTACCTGAAGTTCCAGTCGTTCAGATCTTGTTTCTTCAATTCATATTTTTCCTTATTGGAAATTGATTGCACAGTCATATTCTCAGCTTGATTATCATAGTGTGAGTGCTATGAATGCATTCATAATTATCATTTTGCAATTCGTGATCATTTAGGAATCCCAATCTAAACGTTAATTTGAGCTGATTAATACCTAATCTTGTTCTTTATCAATTTTTTTTTCAAATATCAGATAATAATGATGCTATTTTTTTGGGGGGTACCCTCAAAAGGGGTATGCAACCAAAAGAAAAGAGAAAAAGACATGGTCCAACATTTGATGCTTTGTTTGAAGTTCGTGGGCTATAGTATAATGCCTGGTACACACATGCATATGCATAAGCACTAAAATATGCTTTATGTTAGGGGTCTTGAATATTCAGATGATATGAGATTATATTTGTGAAGGAGGTTGAGACAGTGTCCCAAAAACAAAAGCATTGAGAAAAGGATAAATTTTTATGAAGCCAACTAAGTTAATTAAACCATATAACATGTATTTGCATGTTGATAATTAACCGTTACATGCACAGATTAATTCCATGTTCATAAAAAAAAATGTGGCATGAATGACCTAATTCATTTTAATACATAAATAATCTTCAACAAGGTAATTAGCAACATGGATTACATGCATGTGTACTTAAATGATTTGAGACTTAGTTAAAGAAAGGGAAATTAACCAATTAATAATGACCATTTTTTTTTCCTAATTATGTGATCAGAATTAACAAAATCATTGAGAGGTATCGCCAATGTCGTTACAGCAAGTCACAGACTGGTGATTCATCGGAACTCGATTCACAGGTTTCTCTTATTTTTCCTATGTACAATTTCTTTCTTATCTTATCTGAAAATAACATTTTTATAATATATTTTTTAATTATCTCTTAGATTAATTTTTTATTAAAATACTTTTAATTAGTCTAGTTCATATGTGATAAATAATATTATGAATTGTATTTTTCTCTTTTTCATGAAAATGAAAGAGTTTAGTTTCAAATACGATCAACACACTATTTTAGCATTTTTATGTTACACTCTTAATTAGCATGTATATTAATATTACTGTGCCTTGCAGAGTTCATATCATGAATTCTTGAAATTAAGAGCGAAATACGAATCTCTAGAAAGGACACAAAGGTGAAAAATTTTAAAACTTAGTGGTTCTTAATTTTTCACCCTTATATACTTTAGAAAGAAAAATGGTTTGTATATATATGTTTGAATGCTTCTTTACAGAGTTTCTTTTTGGTGTTTGAAGGCATTTTCAAGGAGAAGATCTTGAGCCACTAAGCTTTAAAGAATTGCAGAGCCTTGAAAAACAACTAGACATTACACTCGCACTAACTCGACAGCAACAAGTAATGTCACTAAACCTTAAAACCTTATTTTCTTCTTTGCTCAATTTTGTTAATAAAAAAAATATAAAAAAATCCAAAACTCTGTGAAAACAATCCACATTTTTTATCAACTGTTTTGGTGTACTAAAATTACTTTGAAATTGCAGACAAAGAAACTCATTGCACGAGCTGATGAATTACGCGAAAAGGTATGCAAAATAAAAATAATTGACTCGTGAATTAAATTGAAAATATTTATTTATTCTTATTCTCTATGATACCTTTAAGGTTGTATTGGTTATGTATATTGGCAGGTGCACAAATTGGAAGATCTTAACAAACAATTGGAGTCCAAGGTTTATTTAAATAATCATGTAAATATAAATATAGCTTAGAGAGGCTATAAAAATTCTCACATTTTTATGATATTTCATTTGATATATTTTTTTTTCAAATTTATTTTGTAGGAAAAAGATTATTTTTCAAGCCTCATCCTTGATAATAACAATATTTTTCAACTGCATGCTACACAAGCCGATCAATTTGAATCCGGAACAACACTAAACACATGGTACATTCATTTTCTTATTCTTTTATTTTGTTAATATAAAAAATATCATTAATTAGTAAAGACGTCTTAGGTATATGTTGAATTTTTTTCGTCAAAGTAAAATTCATTAAAAAAAAAACTAAAATTAAGATGAAAAATTTGGTTAGGTTCAGCAAGTAAACTCATCTTAAAATTAGTAGCTTAATTGACAGTTTTAACTCTCAACCTTTTTTTGTTTCTTTAGTCAATTTTAAAAAAATATATTTATATATAAATATATATATATATATATATAATTAAAAATATTATATCTTTGATATTATTTTGTTAAAATATATAAATATATTATAATATTATAATTTAAATTATAAATATATTAACTAATTAAATTTAATATTTATTATAATTAGATATTTTAACATAAAAACATAATGATTTATCTAATAAAAATATTATTTAATGAGTATAAACTTACACATTATTCATATGATTAAAGATGTATTTTTAAGAAAATTAATATAAAAAAATATATTGATAGACTAACTTACTAGTATGTCAATCCACTTTTTGGTGATACGAATTGATATCTATAATCTATCTCATTATATTTTTAACAAATTAAAAATAGAACGAGTCAAAACAAAATAAATAAACTTGTTTTATCATCTTAACTTAAATTGTTTCGCTATTAAATTATTAAAAAATAAAATGATAAAAATAATATAATATAATTAATATTTAGTCCCTTCTTTAAGAAGTCAACTAATAACAAAGTATCACAAGTAGAACACATAGTGGTTTCATATGAAAGGATTCTTAACAAATAATAATTTTTAAGTGTGAGAGATCTTAGAATCATTTTTAAGATAAGTCAGGCTATATGAAAGGTTGTGGTCAAAGGCCCAAAGTGAAAGCCCAAGTGGAAAGAGGGATGCAAATAGCAAAATGAGGGATTAAATACAAACACGTTAGAAACTGTGTGTTTGTTTTCAAAACATATTACTTATTATGAATTGTTTAATCCACTAACTACATCTTCCTAAAATACCATCAAATTAACAGAAACAAAACAATGATCACAACTTTTATTTATATGCAAAACAAAATTGGAGGGAGAATTAAACACCTTTCACATTATTTAGTTATGATAAGAGTTGAATAATCATGATTAAACACATAATAGTGCTCTCAAATATTTGCTAACCATTATCTCGAGTAAACATTTAAAAATCACCTTATCACCTAGTTGCATTCAAAGAAAAACTTTCCAAGTAGTCAAAAACAACACGTTGCTTTCACAAACACACATATTATTTAAAAAAAAAAAATTCATACAAAAAATCATTAGTCATTGGGCATGATATATTGTAACTTGTATAATGAACATTAATCTATTAGCATAGATAATTTAAGTCTAAGACAGCATAGGAGGCATTGATCGTAAACATCGATTTCGTATAATAAATAAATCTATAATAATTAACAGATAAGTTTGTTGGTATTAAAATTTATACTATAGCCATTTCAATCTCATTATTGTTCGTAAACATTGTTGTAGTAGGTTTCAAGACCAAGAAGTTGGGAAAGAAAAAGGAAGTGATACGAGGACAGAGGGTAACCAAGGCTGTCACCACAAAAGCAATGGATGGTTGTAGTGAATTATTGTTATTTAAAGTAAAATGTTATTTCTACTTAACACACATAGTTTTTATAAAGTAAATGTTATTTCTACTTAACACTTTCTCAATAAGGGATTTCATGTATTCTATGTGTCAAAGAAGAAGAAAAAAATTGTATTTCATCTATCAATGTTCCTAAATATTGATATTTTAGTATATATATGGTTCATTGTTTTATGTGACCTACTACAACAAAGACCTCTATAATAGTGTTTGCATGTCACTTTTGATGTTTTTACGTACTATGTTCTCTAGTAATATTAAATTAGAAAAAAGGGTACTTCAAAAGTGTTGACCTAAGACAATATTTTATGAGAAAGTGTCATGCAAGAGGTCCCATAGATATCATTTTCTCATCAAAGAATTATTAAAGCTATCCCTCGACAATACTTTGTTTAATTCTATTTTCAATAACTTTAGGTTTTCACAAAAACGTAGTAAGAAATGTAATTAATATTTTAAATTTTGAGAAAAATATTATACAATTTTCTATATATATATATATATATATATATATATATATATATATATATATATATATATATATAACCTTTCGATTAATTACTCACATACTTCTACTATATGATGATATTCTCTCACTAGCTGTATTAATTAAGCATAGTACTATTGTTAGTGGAAAATCGAGAAAAACGATCGAAATCGAAGGAAAGAAATGTGATTCGATAAGATAAACAAAAATTCATTCGATGTCTAATTAGAAATACGTAGCATATAGCATCGAGAAACACAATCGAGAATCGAATGAATTATAATCAAATGACTGTTGTCGAATAAAAACTAAGTCATATAAGACCAAGGTTAAAAAGGAATCGTAAGCAATTCGAAGTTCTCGAAAAACACAGAATCGAGAGTAAAGAAAGCCAATGTGGACATCGAGACTTTGGCCAAATTGTGAAAGGAAGTAAGTCGAATGCACGTATAAAGAGCAGTTTTGAAATCATGGGAAAAAGTCAGAGATCGTGAGAACGTGGGAAACTATAGAAGATAAACTGACATACGCACGTAGAACGTGGTAGCAGTCGCGTTAACTGCTCTCGGAAGGCTTGAAGGATGCCCTATAAATAGAGCAAAGGAGGAAGGAACAAGAGAGCAGAAATTGGCAGAGAACAGAATCAGTAGTGAAAAGTCTACCGGAGAAACGACGAACACCATGAAGCTTCTGGCAATCTGGATTTCCTTGCTCACTGAGTACATTTACCGCTTTCTGTATTTTCCTTGGTAATTTATTTTGATGCAACTTAAATTCAGCAGTTTTATGTTTTTGTATTTTCGATTCCTTGTCATTTCAATTCAATGAAAATTTAAGTTTATGCATTTAGGTTTCCATGTCATTTACTTTTCTTGCAATCTCGATTTCTTGTCATTTATATTTGCACTATTTTCGATTCCTCGTCATTTACAATTGATGCAAATTTGGATTCTCATTCTTTACATTTTCTTGCAATTTAACATTGTTTCTTGATTCGATATTTTTACTGCTTTCGATACTTTAAATACAAAATACCAAAAACAACATTTTCGATATCCTGTAATTTTCGATTCTCATACACGTTTTCAATTGAAAATCAAATTGCTAGCCTAAATAAAAAGAACTTACGTGGTAGGATTTCGATTAAGACCAAAACACCTTTAGAATCAAAATCGATCGAAATTCCACCAGAAACAAATTGGCGCGCCAGGTAGGGGAGTCTTGTGTTGAGAAACACAAAATTGGTTAGTTCGAAATTGTATGAGATTAAGGAGTGGGAGAGTCATGAGTCAGAGTTCATCAAATAACCAAGGTAACAGTGAGGGATTAAATGGGTCACGCCCACCAAATACTGGGGGGCAAAGTCATAATGGGAACATACCTGTAGTATCGACAACTGTGAGCATGTCGATACCTGTGAGTAATGAACAAAATCCAGGTACATTAGCAAACACCCAAGTAGGATCTAGTACGGTGATACCAAATAATATGCAAACTATAGGAAATCCCACAACCACATATGTAGGGCCACGTATGAGTATAAGACCGCCCGGGTTTTCACATAATAATGTGAGTGGGGCTGGAACTTCTTCAACGCATAGGAATTCGAGATATAACTTAGGAATGTCCCAAACACTAGGTATGCCACAAAATTTTGGAATCCCTCCGAATTTAGTGGACGTTGCAAAACTTAGTAATTCCACAGGATTCAGGGAATGGACAGAATGTAGGCACACAACAGATACCTCCAAATCTAGATCAGAGGAGATACTTAGATCATGGGAGATATGTATTCGATAGAGACTATCATCGATCTAATTTTGATTCTATCGAAAACATGGGTACCTGAATATCTAGTAATTCATTAGGGGTACTCAGACAACAAATGGATGAGAGTAATTTTGAAATGGTGAATATGTTATCACAACAATTGACTACAGCTCTTAAATCCATTAGTGCAAAACACTACCGCTAGCTTTGAGATATTAGCAGACCAAATGTCACGAATCGAGGATGCATTGGCTATGCCTCGACAAACGAGGATAGAAAATCATGCTAATCAGAATACTAATATTAATCCCCCATATCTATTGAGAAGAAATAGAAACAATGATCAACAAGCAGCGTATGGGAAATGAGTATCAACATGTGAGGAATGATATTTATGGGAATTTGAACGAAGGATTTCAAAATATACACAATCGAATAATATGTTGGGACAAAGGATGAATTTACAAGGGATGAAATTTAGACCACCCAATCGACATATTTTGTGTCTCCCTTTCCGAATGCGATTCTCGAGACAGAATTGCCTCGAGGATATAGAGTACCTAAATTCACTAAATTTGCTCGGAGAAGTTGGTGAATCGACTATCGAGCATGTGGCTCGATATCGATCGAATGCGGGATTTAGCGATGAGTGAAGAATTAAAAATGAAATATTTTCCTAGTTCTTTGACTAAGAGTGCTTTTACTTGGTTCACGTCATTGCCACCCAATTCGATATATAATTGGTCGCAATTGGAAAGAAATTTTCATGAGCAATTCTTTAGAGGAGAAACTCAAGTGAGTCTCATCGACTTGATGAATATAAAAAGATACAATCATGAAAGCATAGATGATTATTTGAATCGATTTAGACAAATGAAATCGAGATGTTTCACTCAAATTCCTGAATTTGAATTAGTCGAATGACCTCTGCAGGTTTAGAATTCTCGATTAGGAAAAAACTAGTCAATTTACCATTGAATGACATGGCTCAATTAGCTGATAAAGTGAGAAGAGTGGAACAAATAGAGTATGAGAAACAAAGATATAAGAAATATGAGAAACCTTTAAAAAAGGAAAGAATAGCATACATAAATGATGTATATGAGACAGATAATATGATAAAAAGTGATATTGAAGAAACTGTCGATGAGAAAGTAAACTTAGCAGAACTCAAAGTAGGGGCTCCATATACCTGTAAATTGCTACAAAAGAATGAAGTAAAAGATAAAATGGCAAATCGAACATATACTTTTGATGTAACAAAAGCGGACAAAATCTTTGATATTTTATTGAAAGACAAACAGATTAAGTTGAGTGATGATCATAAACCGTCGTCTGCGTAACAAAGGAATGGTCGAAAATATTGCAAATTTCATAATGTTTATGGACATTGGACTAACAATTGTATACATTTCAGGAACACCATCCAAGATGCGATTGACCAAGGAAGGTTGAGATTCGAAGAAATGACAATGAAAGTTGACACGAGTCCATTCGAGGCCCAAGTTGGATACCTCGAATCCCAAACAGGCATTACTGATGATGTCCGATTAACAAATTCGACTTTTATAGGCATGGTAGATGTCATCGAAGACATCGATCCTAAGCACGTTAGAATGGACGTATCCGAAGAAGATATGGAATTTGACCCGAGTGAATTCGAGAGAGAGTTCGAAAAGGAAATATACCCTCGATCAGGAGATTCTCTCATTGAATTTTTGAATAGGAAAAAGGAAAAAGACGAAGATGTGTCATTATGCCCACGTTGTAATGCAAGTGTTCGATAAATCGACGCCAAAGCTTTCGAACGTAACGTATGAAGAAGATCGAGAACCAAAATAAAAGGAAAAATGACAAAGTAGATCAAACAGATCCGACCAACGATCGAAGAAAGTCAGCAGAAATCCGTTGGCTCTGGTGTTAGTGAAAATCGGAGGCAGTGGATTAGAAGAGAGATGTATCCTTCTCGAGGAGGAAGAGGTAGACTTCAAAGTAATGATGTTTTCGAAAGACTCTCCTATGATGATGGATCGACCACTAGATTCCCAACATTCCAAAGAAGATTCCGAGGAAGGCCCTGGAGAAGAGGAGGAAGGATCCCCCATTGGAATCATTACAGAAACTTTGGAGAAAATGGTGCACCGATAGAGAGTCATTATGCAAGAGAATTTTTCGATGACAAGAACGATGATACTTGGGACGAACATCAAATCGGGATAATATCAATTTTACCTGCGGAATATGTGAGCGAATACAAAGAATACCAAGAAAAAGAGATGCCGAGCGAGAAGATGACTTCTATTCGGAAAACATAAGGCCAAAAATAACATGGGTCACACAAACCTCATGTGAAGTTCCTCATAGAGACGCCGCTTTCATCGATCCCCCATCCGAGGAAATGAGGTTCCACTTGAAACCATTATTATTGAACATCGAGATCCAAGGACAGATGGTGAATAGAGTCCTTGTCGATGGTGGAGCAGCAGTGAATATACTGCCAATTACTATGCTAAAGAAATTTGGCATTGAACTAAAAGATTTAGTCAAGCACAATATTATGATTTCCGATTTCAGCGGAAAGACGTCAAGTTCAGAAGGTATGATTGCCTTAGACGTGAAAGTGGGCACTTACTCGAGACCTACTGTGTTTGTTGTGGTCCAGTCTCATGCCAATTTCAATGCATTACTTGGCAGAGAGTGGATTCATGGAGTAGGA